ATCCACGTTTGAAGGCCAAAGTTAAATTTATTATAAAGCGATGGTTAGATCAGGAACACAAGAATTGTTAGGAATGACTACAGACCCCAAAGGGAAACATAATAAAGGAACTTGAACCAGGTTAGGACCAATGAGTCCAATTCCCGCTGGCGGGAATGCAGATAAAACTAGCACCCAATTCCTTGGGAACACAAGGGTTCTACAACATAAACACAAGTTCAGTTCTCAGGCATGAGATACATAATAAGCAAAGCAACGCCATAACTCCATCCCACCTCCAGCTGGTTGACCTTGAGCAGGTCCGCAGATGTAGCAAGCAAAAGAAAGTAAACACCTACACAGGAGGATCCAGGGGGGGGGGGGATGGACAGATTACAATGTACCGTTTAGAAAAGAAACACCACCCTATGGCAGCTTGCTGACATCTAGTCCCTCTTTCAAGCCACGACCAGAAAAAAGAGGGAAGGATGGGAGGGTGAAGGAACATTGACTATCTTGGCTTGGCCTGGTGGGGAAGCCATGTTCACCTCAGGCAATGGCACCTTCCCCCTTGCAAGCCTGCTTGCTTGCACATGAGGGCTGATGCTTCTCTCTCTCTGGCTCTGTTCGCACATCTTTCACAAAGCATTTGAACATTTGCCTAGACAGTCACCTTGCTGAGTTCTTTGCATCATCCCAGGTGAGCATCTGGCTCAGTTTGCTGCCAAGGAAGTCTGCTAATAGCTTCAGAGGCAAAGGTCGCCTGTCAATGGGCCTGTCTCACCTCAGTGCTCAGGATGGGACAAGCATGTGCCCAAAGAGCAGCAGAATGACAGTCCACTGACAAAAAAATGTTTAGGGCCCTGGTGTCAGTGTAAGGAAGGTTTATGATAACCCATTCAAAGTCAAAGGATACTTGAAATGGGATAAAACAAAAATGAGTCTTTTAGCATCTTAAAGATTAAGAAGAGAAGAAATTGTATTTATACCCCGCCTTTCACTATCCAAGGGAGTCTCAGAGCAGCTTACAAACTCCTTTCCCTTCCCCTCCCCACAACAGACACCCTGTGAGGTAGGTGGGGCTGAGAGAGCTCTGACAGAAACAGCTCTTTTTCAAGGACAGCTCTTATCAGAACTACAGCTTGCCCAAGGTCATCCAGCCAGGTGCAAGTGGAGGAGTGGGGAATCAAGCCCGGTTCTCCCAGATTAGAGTCCACGCACTTAACCACTACACCAAACTGGCTCTTAACAGTTCAGCTTTTGTGGGGCTCGACCCCACGTCAAGAATGGGGAAAGAACAATAGAAAATGGAAAGAAAAAATTGTGGGCCCATCAGTCTGTGGCATTTTTATGCAAAACTCAGAAGTGTTTAAGAAAAGAACATTAATGACAGCTGTAATTGGGGATAAGCAAGGTCACCTATGTATGTCAAGCATTTTAACACCTGGAGTGGCTTAGGAGGGTATCAGCTCTGTTTAATTTCTAGTCGATGCAATCAAACCTACTGATCAGTTGTAAGCCTGCTGAGTATATCTGTCTCCCTCTGGCCAAAGGTTCACTTCATGTTAGAAGAAGAAGAGAGACGAGATTGGATTTATACCCCGCCCTTCACTTGGAGTCTCAGAGCGGCTTACAAACTCCTTTCCCTTCCCCTCCCCTGTGAGGTGGGTGGGGCTGAGAGAACTCTGACACAAACTGTTCTTTTTCAAGGACAGCTGTGCCAGAGCTTGAGACTGACCCAAGGTCACATCAGCAGGTACAAGTGGAGGCGTGGGGAATCAAACCCGGTTCTCCCAGATTAGAGTCCGCGCACTTAACCACTACACCAAACTGGCTGACAGAGTGGGCTTTAGACCACAAATGCTGATGCTTCAACAATTCTGTTAGTGTTTATATGCCTTTTTGTTTTTTACTGTAATGGACTATGATGGCGACCCCCACTTGAATTGGATATGGGATAAGACGTCTTGAGACTGAAAAAGGTGAAGCCTTGCTGTGCTGCAGAGTGAATGAATGATGTCTGTGGCTGCAGTGTGAGGCAGACTCATCAGCTGGATACATCTGGTTGATGGTTTGTGGAGACATACGAGCAGCTGTGTTCTGAAGGGCTCAAGAGAAACAGATGTGACTCTGGGCTTGTGGGCCATGGGGAGCTGTCTGTCAGGGACCCTTTTGGTGCAAAGAGTCTCTCAGCCTGCCATCATTCAGAGGCAGCAAACAGTGCGTGTGCCACGGAAGCAGAAGATTAATTTGTTTTCAAGATTCTGTGTGGACTCTTTAGCTGTGTTATTGTACAGCTGAGCGGGATTACAGAGGCAGTTTTGCAGGGTGTGTTGTGAGGGATTCATATTTACAATCTCCTATGGGATTAATTTTTCTCTTTTTACATTAAAGCAGCTGTGAGCTGGTGATTAGGATTGGAGCCATGGTGCTGCTATGGGGCTGGGGGAAGGGGTGTTGAGAAGTACAAGAAGATGAATCTCTGCCCCAAGGAGCTTACAGTCTAAACACTGGCGTAGGAGGCAAAAAGGGAGGAGAGGGAGATGGAGGCAGGGAAGAAGTGGGAGATTTGTTCCAATAATCACACATGTTGGATTTGGGGGAAGGGCACTAAAGGTTGTTTCTAAAACATTGTGTATTTTGCAGCATGTGTGTTTGCCACAGTCAAACATGGTAAGTTTGACAATCAATTAGACATGAGCTGAAAATTGGATCTGCTCAGTTTGGCACTGAGTGACTCAAAAGCCTATTGTACAGGATTGTACCAGGTTTTTAAATCAAAACTGCACATGTGCAAAAATGCTGCCTATGCAAACAGATCAGCAGCCATGCATCTACTTAAACACTGAACAGTAGGATGTTTTTAAATTCAGCATTTATTGATGACTGGTTTATATAATTTGTGACTGATTTAACTGTTTAAAGAATTGCCTTCTTAGTGTCTCAGCAAGAAGAGGAGTGGAATAGAGCTCAGTTGGGTTGTGTGAGAATGCAAAAATCTGATCATGCTGTTGGGAAAGAACATGGTGAAGCAAACTGCCAAATAGCTGTGAACAGGTCAACAAACAGATTATCAGTTCATCAAAAATTTGGCTCCGTGTTCGTAACTGGCGAACAGGGCGTGAGCTGAACCAGTGGGTGTTCAAGCATCCCTTAGATAAAGCAGTAATCCCCAGCATGGTGTACAAGGTCTCCATGCTGCCCACTAGTGTACTTCCGCATGCCCTTTTCCTTCTTCCCCAAAGCAAAGAGCCAATTTTAGCTTTCCTTCAAAGAAGAGCAGAGAGCACTCTGGGCCAGAGCCTAATTAGTGAGAAGTGTGAAGTGTTACATTCCTTTCACAGAGCATGCCCAGACTTCGGTGTGTTAACTTACAGATGAAAGCCTGATCCAGTTAAAACAACAAACAAAGCAGTTGAAGTGGGTTTGGACACTCAAGATCATCTGTGTCCTGCAGAGTAATGTAACAAACCAGTGTTTGTGTCTCTGCATTTGCAGCAGCAATGAAGGCAAAACTGACAATCCTTGCTGTGTGGATGCACACTTGGAGTGCTGGGGTTTTGCTCTCGTGCTTTTGATGCACACACCTCTGTCTGCTCCATGTAGCACTTCATGCATCTGATGAAAGATTCTGCTACAATAAATGTGTTAGTCTTTAAGCTGCCACAAGACATCCCGGGCTCGCAAGAAAACTGTAAGTTGCTAACGGTTTCAGGGTGAGAAATCTCCCCGTTCTTGGGCACTTATTGATAGTGATGGAAAATCCGCAAATTGAGAGCTGTAACAGCTTCATTTTATGTTCACTTTCAGGGGGTGTTTAAAGTCTGTGAGTTGCTCACGTGGGCGATAAGGCTTCACCTGACAGTGCTAACTGTGTGGTTCTCTGCCCTCAAAGGTCACTTTCTCTATTTATGTGCTTCATTTAATTGACTAGATGCGTCACACCTGCCCTGCACGTGGCTAATCCCACCGTGAATTTTGGACGTTGCTTCCTGAAGTTCCCCTACCAGCAAATGGTGCATCTCATTAATGATAGTGACCTGCCAGGATGCTATGGCCTCCTCCTCCAGGTTTGTGCTGTTGTTAACTGTGCTGCCGCCATACGGTTGTGCTTGCTGGCTGCAGAAGGGGCGTTTCAGATCCAGACTGATCTTAGGTTGCCAGGCTGGGTCCCCTAGCACATTGTCATGTTCTAGTACAGTAAATGCGTTGAAAGCAGTGAACACCCCATTAAGGTCAGCTATATTGGATTAAATGTAAAGAAATCATTTGCATTGGAAGTACAGAAGCTTTACACAGTATCCCTGACCCTCCATATCCTCTAGGGGTAAATGGTGTTCAAACGAATTACAAATATGACCTGACTCTTGTGGTAACAATAGAAGGAAATTTTACTTACAAAAATAGAAGCAAATCAATATTCATGCAGGTGCATTTAATTTATTGTGAACTGATTAACTTCCAAAAAGGTTAACTTGCTGCCACTCCAAGCCCAGGGAAGAGAGAAGGTCCGATATAAGATGAAAAAACAGAAGGCAAACAAAGGCCAAAAAGGCTCAGCATGTGACTGATGAGAGGGTGGGGCCAACTGCCAAGTGTAACCGAGCAAGAGAATTCCCTTAACTCTTTCTTTTTTCTTTCCCTCCCGGATCCTCTTGCATGCAGAGTTACAGTATCCACGCAAGCAATGGGTAGGGTGGGGACAAGAGAGGGAAAATGGCAAGACCTGTAATAACATTTTCCTGATCCCACATGCTTGTATTTCCTGCTGTTGAATGTATTTTGAGTTCTTAAGCCTATGAAATCTTACAAAGGATTCTGAAAAAGAGTTAAATAAACAGAGTGGTCTTGTGGTGCCACAAGCGAATCTTCTTCAGAAGTGATTCTCAGAAGCCCACAAAGCCGGGTAGTGTTCTTCATTGGAGCTCTGCAAGTGAAAACCTTCCCAAGTGTTAATGGCTTTCCCAGTGAAAAGCACCAGATGGGCAGTTGTGAAGGCTGACTGTGATGCTTTTCTCTCTGTCTAGGAATATGAGAAGACCCCTCCAGTCCTGCATTCCAGTCCAGCACCTTGTGGCATCATTCCACCTCATGCCACTGTGGAAATCCCCGTGGCTCTGGAAGTCCAGGAGAGGGGGCAACAGAAAGCCATAGCCCATATAGCTATTTTTGGGAGTGAAGACCCGCCTTTGGTGAGTGAATTTTTTTTTACTCGAACTAAGGATCAGAAGGTCTCTCCTTACCTCGGGCAAAGCTCAATAAAGGTGTCTTTTGAAAAACATATGCACAGGTTCTCTGCCAGGGGTGTTTCCCTCCTGAGAATGAGTTGAATGGTTTCTTCACATCAGTGCATCAGAAAAGTTTCCTGGAGAGGGAAAAAGATGTGGATTCGCCCTGATTCAATGTTGTACCATCTTAATATTTGACACACCGGAGCAGTTGGAAATAGCAGTTGGATTGGCAAGCTTCCAAAACAATCTTGAAACGAATGTTAACAGCTCTGGCTTCCGAAAGCATCACATTTGGAAAACGGTGCGCAGTTCCTGGGGCCCTCGTCAGCATATCCTGAGGAGGGGCAGCTGCCAGGGCCCATGGCTTCTGGCAGGGCCCAGTGCTGTCAACCCCACCACTCACTTATTTGCTAGTGCTCCACCATGCTGCCAGCTGCACACACTGCTCCGTGCCTCTGGGCATAGGGCTGTAGGCAGTGGTGAGCATGGGCAGTGGGAGAGTTCACAGATGGACAGGGTAAGGAACATAGGCAGGTGGGAGTCATCTGGATGGGGGGAAGGTGAGCATGTGTGGGTGGGCTGGTGGTGGTTAGAAGGGAAGGGGGGTCCTGGGAGCTTTCTGCCTGGGGCTCCTGGTACCTGGAACAGGCGCTCCCAAATCCACATCTTTGTAATGCGTGCATGGTAATTTCAGGATGTTACATCTGAGGTCTTAGTCCTCTCTTTGAAATCTGCTCCACGGAATGCTCAGTTCACACTTTCATCTGAAAATTAGCACCAAGGTGAGGGCCATCTTCCACCTCCTTCCCTCTTTTATGAACATGACCATTTCACTTTATTCAAAGCAACAGCGAAGCAGGACAAGTGGCTGATGCTTTCCCTCCCCAAGATCTATGCCAAAGCTCTAAGAAATAATTTGTCCCCCGCAGCCGTACCGGCCGCTGCGGCGGGACTGGCGTGGCTCGCGCCAGCTCTCTGCAGACCCCCGGACAACATAGACCCCAAGGCAACAGTTTTGCCAGGGGGGGGGAACGGAAAGGGGGGTCGTCCTGGAGGCTCCCGAGAACACAAACCCCTCCCTCAGCGTCCACGAAGCTACAGGGAGAGACCAGAGAACCCGGAAAGGAGGTGGGAGGAAAGGTCCGGATCGGACCGAGTTACTCAGCGGCAGTGTTCCCTCTAAGCTTGGTTAGTGTGAGCTAGCTCACAGTTTCTTAGCCTCCGGCTCACACATTTTTGTCTTCGCTCAGGAAGGAGGGCCCCAGAGCAAACTAATTTATGCAGCGTCCAAATCGCTCACTCACAACTTTAATGCCAGTAGCTCACGGAGTAGAATTTTTGCTCACAAGACTCCACAGCTTAGAGGGAATGTTGCTCAGCGGTCAAAGGGGGAGGGAAGAGCCCGGTTGACAAAAAGAAACAGCTGGAGGGCCCCGGCCTTACCTCTACGAGTGGCAGGTGAAGAGAAGGCGAGAGTAGGTCTCAGCAGCCTGACCGGAAGTAGGCACTCCCTGGCTAGAAACGCTGAATATGACAGGGGCGGGACCACAGAAGGGGAAGCACCCGGGGATTGGAGAGCAAGGTGATGGGCAGGGGGAACTAGCCTATAGGATTTGGGGTCACAGAGAGGAGTGTCACTAAGGGATTGGGAGGGGTATAAAAGAGAGGAAGCTGAGAGGTACCAGGGAGGAAAGTCAGAGGATTTCCTAGAGAATGCAAAGAGAGAGAAAGAATGTATTACGGTGATCTATCTGAGGAAGTGTCTGAGGCGCGAAGCAACCCCCAGCGCTTCCAAATATGAGGCACCTGCTTCCTCCCGATATCCCAACACGGCTACTGGGTTTTCCGGACCTGGGGTCGACCCAGAGCAGGACATAATTAATAGTCGTGCTGTCCTGTCATGAAGAAGAAGAAGAAGAGAAGAGATTGGATTTATACCCCGCCCTTCACTTGGAGTCTCAGAGCGGCTTACAAACTCCTTTCCCTTCCCCTCCCCACAACAGACACCCTGTGAGGTGGGTGGGGCTGAGAGAACTCTGACACAAACTGTTCTTTTTCAAGGACAGCTGTGCCAGAGCTTCTGACTGACCCAAGGTCACATCAGCAGGTGCAAGTGGAGGAGTGGGGAATCAACCCCGGTTCTCCCAGATTAGAGTCCGCACACTTAACCACTACACCAAACTGGCTCTTAACAAGGCAGATTCACATTGTAATATGGGCTTTGTACAGACGTGTTCTGGGGATTCTTGATTTGGAACTTAATTCTCAGACGCATGTAGGCTCAATCCGTATTGGGACCACAGCACACAAGGTAAAGGTGCTTCAGCCTTCCCCTGTGCACTGTTTTCCTGAGCTATTTGCCCTTTGGGGAAACTTGCATGTATTGCATGTACACACAGGCTTCCCACAAAGGATCTTTTTCATGTTTGGAAAATAGAGTGTGTGTGTGTGTAGGTGGGGGAGTCTGAAGCCCCTTCTCCTAGCATGCTCTGATACTAATACAAATAGGGCCTGTGTGCACCTGGGAGCCAACCTCTGGGCACACATCTGACCTGAAGTCCTCTTGGTGGTCACATGGATTCAGTAATTTATGAGTCAGCCCTAAAGGAACCAGAAATACAAGCCTTTGGAAGTACAGCTGTTGCAGCAGCTTTTATACAATTAATGCCCACCAAGAGAGACCTGAATAGTAACGGTTCTTTAGGTCAAGGAGAACCGGCTCCGCTCTGCAGCCAGCTAGGCTTACCTCGGCCAGGTTTGTGCCATTCCCAGGGTAGATGTTTCTGAAAAAGCAGCTTTCCCCACTGCCCGCCACCCAAGGCAGGCACACAAGAAAGAATTTTGTTGATGCAGGAAATAGTCTGGCACCACGATGGAAATAAATCACCTAACACACGAGGGACAGAATTGGAAAGAACAACCAGGGCATTTCTGACGAAGCAGCCATCAAGTCTCACTGGGCGATGATCATCCTCATCCTTAATGTCCATTCTTACAATCTTTACTATCCTTGTGGAATTTCTTCTGCCCTCTCAGGAGCAATCTGTATCCATGTGTATTGTTTGTGGGGGCTGCCCTTTGAGCTAATGGGCTGTGATAGCCCATCTGTATGAATCAGAGATCACATTTGGCTGGAGCAAGCAGAAGCTTCATCTCCTGCTCTACCAGCCCACCACCTCCGTCGCCTCGCTGGTCTGGCCTGTAGTCCCAGTCATTTCAGTGCTGGTTGTGCTAACTTAACATATTGCGAGGCAGACTGCTTGGCACTGAGATCTGTCAAGGGTTCAAACCAGGACACAGCAGGGGTTGCCTCTGGAAGGATTGATGGACTGCCTTTCCCCATCAAGTCGGGCCTGAGGCAATTTATGAAACATGCTACAGCATGTCCATTAAAAACATCACTCCATCACAATCAGTTTTGGTTGTAGCGGACAGCTCGGTGAAAATGTCAGCTCAGTATGCAGCAGCAGCAGTGAAAAAAGGCAAACTCTATACTAGGGATTGTTAGGAAAGGAAATAAGATGGCCAGTATGATAATGCTCATGTATACCTCTGCTTTGTGGTCACAGATGGAATACAGTGTTGTCAGGCTCCCCCAGGGTGGGTCTGAGTCCAGAGCTGTCTCACCTTCCGGGGTTGCTTTTTGCAGGAGTCATTTTGTAGAAAAAGAGGAGCTCATTAGCATAAATTATTTGCATATGGCACACCCCCTGACATCACCAGAAGTGTGTCAGAAGGCAACACCCACCACTCAGGCTCCACTGGACTGTTTCGGATTCCTAGCTATTGGGGAGGGGGACACGCAGATCTGTCCTTGCAGAGGAGGGAGAGCTTGTAACTGAATAAAACTTGGTCTTAAAGGTGCCACTGGACTGTTTTGGGGCTGGGGCGGGGCTCTGCAACTTACCTGGCTGCTTCTTGCTCTGACTGAGGGCTGCTGGGAGCAGAGGGTGGGGCTTGTTGCATGTGCCCGCCCCCTGGGCTCTTTACTGCTGGAGCTCCGCTCCTGTGTGCTCCTGCAGGAAATGACCCCTGGCTTTTCGTTAGGCAAGTGTCCCAGGACAGAGCCTCAGAATAGAGCAAGGGGTGGTGGTGGTGGGTGTCTTTTCACCCAGCTCCCCCACTCTGCTCTGCCAATTACCTATTGCCACCTGCCAGAGAATGGGTCTGTCTTTTCCTCCCTGGCTGCCCCAGGGCATGCCTTTTAAATGCTTCCCCAAGGGAGGACCAACCATGGGCTCAACCAATCCTCTCCCCAACCCAGTCCTGGGGGGAGGGGGGACAGGCCCCTGGGTCAATGGATACTTGTCTTGGATTAGTGAGCTCACTGGCCCTTTCCCCTGAACTTCTATAAAGAAGTGGCTGCTCCGCCCAACCTCCTCTAAAAAGGTCAGTGCTGCCTGCTGTCCCTGTCCCCCGTCAGAGCTCCCCTGGGTCTCAGTGCTAGGGTCGTCTCTGGTACAAACTTGGGTTGGTTGTCTACTGCTGCTGAACACACCTCTGAGAGTCAGATGGGCTCCTTTTGGTGTGGTAGTTAAGTGTGCAGACTCTAATCTGGGAGAACCGGGTTTGATTCCCCACTCCTCCACTTGCAGCTGCTGGATGACCTTGGGCAAGCCATAGTTCTGACAAGAGCTGTCCTTGAAAGAGCAGTTCTCGAAAGAGCTCTCTCAGCCCCACCTACCTCACAAGGTGTCTGTTGTGGGGAGGGGAAGGGAAAGGAGTTTGTAAGCCGCTCTGAGACTCCGAGTGAAGGGCAGGTATAAATCCAATCTCTTCTCCTTCTCCTCCTTCTCCTTCTCTCCTCCTCTTCCTCACTGGCTGACTCCCAAGTAAACTCTATCAAGGCTACACCCTGCTGCTAGCTGTCAGCCAATTTACATGGTGTTCAGATCATGTGAAGTGATGGTATTGTTTACTCTGCTCTGGTTAGACCTCACCTAGAGTATTATGTTCAGTTTTGGGCACCACAATTTTAGAAGGCTATAGACAAGCTGGAACATGTCCAGAGGAGGGCAACAAAAATGGTGGGGGGTCTGGAGACCAAGTCCTATGAGGAAAGGTTGAAGGAGCTGGGTATATTTATCCTGGAGATGAGACGACTGAGAGGTGACATGACAACCATCTTCAAGTACTTGAAGGGCTGTCATCTAGTGGATGGTTGCCCCAGAAGGTTGGACCAGAACCAACAGGTTGGAATTAAATCAGAAGAGTTTTCGGCTAAACATTAGGAAGAACTTCCTGACAGTTAGAGTGGTTCCTCAGTGGAACAGGCTTCCTCGGGAGGTGGTGAGCTCTCCTTCTTTGGAGGTTTTCAAATAGAGGCTAGATGGCCATCTGACAGGAAGGCAGATTCTGTGAACCTAGGCAGAGAGGGAGGCAGGACGGGTTGCCTCAGTGCTTAGTTCTTGTGGCCCTTTCTTACATGCCCAGGGGAATGCTGATTGCCACTTTGGGGTCAGGAAGCAATTTTTCTTCAGGCCAGTTTGGCTGGAGATACTGGAGGTTTTTTGTCATCTTCTGGGCATGGAACAGGGATCACGGGGTGTGTGGAGGGGGGAGGTATTTGTGAATGTCCTGCCTTGTGCAGGGGGTTGGATTAGATGGCCCTGGAGGTCCCTTCCAACTCTATGATTCTATGATTCTAACTTCCCCAGTTTCAGGGCTTGCTGGTGCAGTGTGCCTTTTATGGGGCTTGCAGTCCCCTGGGGTAAGTGCACGGGCAGATATATTGACCATGGACAAGTGTACAAAGTACAGAAGAAGGCAACCAAGATGATGACGGTGGTGGAATACTTTTCCTACGAGAGAAGGCTAGAGAGTCTGGGACTTTTCAGTCTAGAAAAAATGGCTAAGGGCTGATACAATAGAGGTTTATAAATTAGGCACTGGGTGGAGAAGGTGTGTAGAGGGATCTTCCCTATTTTACTCAGTGACTCAAAAGAGGTACACTTGTGCTGAAGAACAGCAAGGTGCTGATCTTTCAATCTTTGCTGTTTCCTGTTTTTCCCTGGAGCAGGAAATCAAGCTGGTGACTTTTGGAGAAGGCCCGGTTGTTTACGTGCATCCTGCTATGCTAGATTTTGGCAGTATCCAGGTCTTAAAGGATGCCTCCAGGACACTCTACCTTTCCAATCAGTCTGTTATTCCTGCACCATTTGAGGCACAGATGGTGAGTATGAAATGTTTTCATAGCAAAAAAAAAAGTGAGTGGAGCAGCTCGTATGCCTCAGGATGGGAAATATCTGCATGTGAATGAGCAAGCAAGTGATTTCTGGTGTGCTTTGGACCTTCATTTAGGTGGTATTCCCTTCCTTCCTTTGCTTCTGTGGCCAGATCCTTTGTAATATAGTGATTGCAGTTGAGATATCTGGTGTGAATTACAAATCTCAGTAGGTAGGGCAAAGGATTCCTAAAAACTTCCTTGAGAAATCTGAATTGGAGTGCATCCACGCATACGTGTTCTTCTCATTCTCTTGCATTTGACCCACGTACTTTGGAAGAACAAGTTCTAGACTATATGAGCTAGAGAACACCTAGTTCAAATCTCAACCTCATCCATGACAAGGGGACCGCAGGCAAGCCACTTCCTCTGTCTTAGCCCCCCCATCTGTAACATGAATGATAATAACCACCTGTCCTCCAGCACTGTAATGAGTACTGAAGTAACATGCTGCAGTGCAGTTCCGTGACACAGCCATGTCCTAGCCAAGGGCATTCTTGAAAACATTGTACAAATCAATCTTCTTTCTCAGAGACCCTCACACAGTTTTCCAAGACCTGTTACTGGGGCTGCTCACTGTTAATCCTGTGGGTAATTAACAAGTATAAGAACAGAGGCGGATGTTGGAATGAAAAGGCATCTCCAGCTGTGTTCTTAACAGCTGCATTGTGCCTCCCTTCCCAAGTGCACTGCTGAGCAATTTCAGAAGTGATCATCACCCCTGTTTAATTACTGTCAGCATTCAACCAAAAGAACACTTGTGCAGTCAGTGAAACGGTCACAAGAGAGCAGCCCATTTTTTGAGTGGTTGTATATTTTCACATCGGTGGTCGTTCTGAGAAGCCAGTGTCTGATTATCTGATGGTGCCAGTGAGAATTATACAGTTTAATATGTGAACAGATCTGGAATCTTAAACCTCTGCTGGTGGAGATGGAATAACGTGGCATTTATGTAAGAAAATGATCAGTAACTGCTATCTTGACCCCATCATAGATAATTTGCTGGGATGTGACTTCAGATACTATCTGAACCAAGAACCAGTGTGGTGCTTTTCAGGGATGGCCTGAAATTAGACTGTGCTCCACCAGTGGACCACTGTCCAGCTTTTGTTGACTGCCTAGTGCTTGATGGTTGCTTGAAGTCTAGCAAAGAATGTTGGAACAAGTGAATTTTGATGCAAAGGCATAACTTAACAAGGGTACATACTCAGGTTCACTGCACATGGAATGTTGGACTCAGCCTGTGTAAACCTGGTTGAAATCTTTGCTAAGCTTCAGTTCTCCCAGTGCCAAGTCACTCTGTTTCTCTCTTTCCACTTAACCTATTTCAGGGATTTTTTTGAGAATAAAATGACATGTATGTAGCTGGGAGAAAAGCAGAGTAAGATAAAAATGTTATTAATAACTGCATGTTATGCAAGAAGTCATGGTCACTCTTAGCCGCTAGGGCAAAGCTTTGTATCTTACAGGTAAAATGGTCAAGATGCCGGCACCCTCTCAAGACACTGTAAAACATAATAGCCAAGTGAGAAGAGAAAGGGGAACTCCTTGGTCATCTGACTTTGCGGATACACCTTGGGCTTGCATGGGTGGGGAGGAGGTTGTGCATATTCTTCTTGGCTCAAAGCAGGTCAGGATGTGAATCATTGTGGAACACTTAGTAAGATGCCCCTTTTCATTTCTCGTTGCTTTCATACATTATTGTCACAAGCCTTTTTTTGTCTCACCTGTTTTTATTGCTGTCGCTCCTGAATTAGTTTTTTTCTCTCTTGCCATTTGTATATTATGTGCAGTTTTATGTTCAATTGACATAAAATCAATGTTTAAAAACCAAGTAAATATAATGGGGGGGGGACTCAGTGTATAAAAACAGTGGTGCAAAAATAAATATTCACGGGTTCAATTTACACAAGAGAGCAGCATGATCAGAACAGGGATCTCTGTACGAGGCCAGTGGAAACGAGACGTCTGAGAACACTCCTGCCACTACAGCCAGTTACGACTATGGTTGTCAAGATGGTGAGAAGGCGTCAACTCCTTTTTATTGTTAGCCAAATTGCTCCAGTCCTTAAAAATAGCAGTTGGCAAATAGGGAGCAATAACCCATGTATACAGGAGTCCTGCCCTTTCCAGTAAGTCAGAGAATAAATGCAGAGACCAAAACTTTAGTGAAATGGTTTCTTTACTGGGAGACTCACACACTTATACAAAACACAATCACACACTCAGCAATACAGATCCAAGAAAATTAGATAGAAATGGTACAGAGACATTCGCATGAGCAGGTAAATCATTGGTTGGGCGACACATACCTGTCCTGACATGATGACGTGATCCTTACAGCAGAAAAATAGTGGAGACTATAAGGGAAAAATGGGGTCATATTCTGAACCGGCAGAACACGTGGAGAGACTCTGGGCAGCGCTATACCGAGAGTCAGCAAGATGGGATGGGGTCAGGTATAGAGGAAGAGAGAGAGCATGGTGGATTGTGCTCTTTTTATACACTATTTGGACTTGGGGGTGGCCTTCACTGGCCACTTCCCCTGTCATGTCCCTAGTCCCCAGGAAGTTGCTTAGCAAAACTAGTTGCAGGAGGATGGTGGGGCTTATGGTTGGGCAATGTTGATTCTTTTATTACTAACAGTGACACCTTTAGAAGACAATAGCAGCAAATGGCCAGGGTCGTTAGGGCTGATGGCCCGATGATCTCTCTGAGTGATGGGCTTGGCAGGTTTGATGTGTCAGCCGGCTAATCCCTTTATGCAAATTGATCTTTTGTCATACTGGGCAGCCTATGTGCTGTATCTGGCAAAGGGGTGTGTGTGTGTGTGTGTGCCTGTGTACCAACAGAGGTTTCTGCTCATGGAGTCTTTGTGGAGAAGCTCAGGCTTCCCTTTGCATGGCATGGCATTCCCCTGCAGCATGCTTTTACTAGCTTCTGAGTGCTGTCTGTGGCCGGGGTGCTTGGCTCATCTCTGCTGCGTTGCAGGTGGCAGGTAACCCATGGATCCATCCTTGGTCTGGCACATCATCTCAGGTGGAGGCCTCATCTGGGCGCATGTTCACAATCCAGGCAGTTGGCATCAACTTTTGGTCACCATACAGTCCATGTTCTTGGCCCACTTACTGCACAGTCCAGTTATTAGTTATGGCTCATAAGTCCATGAGAACTTTATAAGCTCCTTACAGGGCAACATTACTCCTAATGGTCCGTGTACAGGCACACCTGCCATTTTAAAGAGCACTTTCAGATCTTTTCTTAGCCACTTGAAGAAAGGGTGGGGGGAAGGGAAGAAATCTTTCAACCCTCTAATTCTTTTGTGTTTTCAATAGATTTAAAGGAGGCTTGATCACTGGGGAGTCTCTGCTGTTGTTGCTTGTACATTTACTCATGGTGTTGGTGTTTTTAAGCAGTTCAGCTGAAGTTTTCTGCTTCTCCCCCTTGCCCCGGTAGTCACAGCTATGTGCCCATGCCTGGCATGGGCGCTCTCGATCAGTTCTTGTCTCAGGGCAATCAAAGGACTCCCACCCGCTTGCTGCCGCTTGCGGGGAGTCCCAATCAAGCCCCTTGAACTGTGCTTCTCTTTGGAAAAATTGTTGATCCGGCCAGCACACGGGAGAGCTTCCCGGTGTCAACCATTCTCATTGTTCCATGGAGATTCTGGAATCCAATGCTGACTCACTTGGTTCTGACTTCTGTTCACATCACATGTACAGCTGTAACCCCTTTTCTGGCCGGTCTGCCCCCATCATTCATCCTCAGTGCATGGTTTGCCAGGTTGTTCAGGACTGCTTTGACAAAAAATGGGCCAGGACTTTAAAATACATAGCTTGTTCAGAGCATTATAATTCTCATTGGTATAGTAAATGACTTATGTTTCTTTATATGTTATAGTGTGCATGATGCTGTACAAAGTCCAAGCAGTGCCCAATGGTCTTATCACCTGAGGGTTGCTTCTTAGACCACCTCTTGTGGTCCTAATACCAGTCTCATGTATCTGGGTTTGCCTTGAGACTGCAGAAAGGAGGGGAAAATACGTGTTATTAGCCAGAGGACTAAGGGCCACTGGCAGGTTACACTTTCTGCCTCTCAGGAAGACCTTCATGGCTAGGGGAAGATCCACCTGGCTCCTCCAGAGAAGAAGTAGATTGAGGGAGAATCGTTTCCCCCGTGTCTGCCAGGAAGAGGACTGTTCCACCTGCCGGTTGGGCTGAGGCCAATGTTCCCTCTAAGCTGTGCAGTCTTGTGAGCAAAGATTCTACTTTGTGAGCTGCTGGCATTAAAGTTGTGAGCAAGCGATTTGGCTGCTGCATAAATTAGTTTGTTCTGGAGCCATCCTTCCTGAGCTAAGAAAAAATGTGTGAGCTGGAGGCTAAAAAACTGTGAGCTAGCTCACGCTAACTCAGCTTAGAGGGAACACTGGCTGAGGCTACTGAAGAATAGGGGGAGAAGAGTCACGGGCTTCTGTCAGTAGCCAAAGGAATAAAGGTCATAGGATAGTCCCACCATTTTCATCCAAAACAAGATTGCCAGCAAGAGACGACCAGCATGAAAGGATTGTGTCTGATTTCTAACTGTCAAACTAAACTATCTAACTCCCTTCCTCTTGTGCTTCTTAACTTTTTAGACTGTAACCCAAGGACAAGGCCTGCATTTTTACTGATGTAAGCCACTTTGGGAGATGACTGTCAGAAAAGCAGGGTGTCAGTACAAATGAATAAATACATTTACAAAACCTATTATTTCTTAATATGTACTTATTTGAAAAGCTAATGTCCCACCTTTTGAAGAAATGTCCAAGACAGTGAACAGTGCTAGGAATATATTAAAAAGTGTATAAGAGTATATTATAGCATATCACGAGATATAATACACTGTGGCAAAGGTGAAGAGTGCAGCATAATTATATAAATAACCAGCTGTCACAATAGTTAAATCATAGCAATGAAATATTTGTCTCTTTAAACTCTGCTGTCTCTCTGAGCTTCTTGATTCCCACCACTCATCCTTTTCTGTTTCAATACAATTGTGCCCAGACCAAATGGGACACTGAGGCTAAGATGAGCTTGTGTTTCAGGCCCGCAGTAATTCTCTGTGGAGGATTGAGCCCAGCAAAGGACTGGTTCCTCCAGAGGCTGAGATATCGATCATTCTGATAGCGCACCTGGATGACACCGTGGAATTCCAGGACAAAGTCCACGTGGCCATAGAGAACAGCAACTCCTATATCATCCCAGTCCAGGCCACTGGCATTGGTACAACTATTGTCACAGACAAGCCTTTCGCTCCAGCCATTAATCTGGGACCCCACTTCAGGTAAGCCAGCATGGTTGTTTCCAGTGCCCTAACCTAGCACATACAGCATTCTAGTTTGTTTGTTTGTTTGTAGCTGCCAAGGTGAGGAGCTGCAGTGGCTCAAGTGGTTAAGACGCTGAACTGCAGGCTGTGGAAGGTCGGTAGTTCAGCAGTTCGAGACCCAAGTGCCACATGACAGAGTGAGCTCCCATCTCTAGTTCCAGCTCCTGCCAACCTAGCAGTTCAAAAGCAAGAAATTGCAAGTAGATAAATAGGTACCACTTCGGTGGGAAGGTAACAGCGTCCCGTGCACCTTGGTGTTTAGTCATGCCGGCCACATGACCTTGGAAACGTCTTCGGACAGCGCTGGCTCTTCGGCTTTGAAACAGAGATGAGCACCGCAACCCTAGAGTCGGATTCAACTGGCTTGCGAGCAAGGGAAACCTTTACCTTTACTAGCTGCCAAGGTACAGTTCTGTATTCTCATTTCACATAGGGGCAGTGCAGGCCACTTGGAAACTTTTAGCTCTTAAAATGTGTCGTCTTCCTGGAAGTAATGTGTGCAAGGTGCAGCCAGGGCAAGCATATGATGGTCACTCCAGCAGTCTTGGAGATTTATGGTGCCATCCTAAGGAGAGTGATGCCTTTCCAAATCCATTAACATCAATGGACTTAGAAGGGTGTCACTCTGCTTAAGATAGTGTTGTTAGTGACCAGTGCCATGAAAAAATAAGTCTTTTTTTTTCTGACCATACTGGCTCACAACTTCTGTTGCGCCTCCCTCTATTCCTGTAGCTGTTTCTCTGACCTGGTATTCATTCAACCCACTGAAACTGAAACAAGGTTATGATAACACTCCATATGTTGTATTTGACAGAGTGTGGAGAACACTGATAAGGGCCATCAGTGTTTGCGGTATACTTCACTCAGGCTTTTTATTCTGCTTAAACAAAAATAATACCAACATTTATCTCAACAGGAAAGAACTTAACCTACAGTATTTGGAATCGAGATTATATACCAAGCCATCACTGTTCTTAGTTGATATTAGAGAGAGACAGTTCTATACGTATCAGCACTGAGGCCAAGTTGCCTTTCTTGAAAATCATAAAGGTCTTTCAGCTAGCTGCAAAGACTGGCTTCTTTTGTCCACAGCCTTCCAACTACACTTAATTTATACAATTTGTTTCAATTTAGACAATTTATCTGCCATACTTCATCTGTATTCTAAAATTCAGGTTCATATAATTATGCCACGTGCTAGCAATTGTTATTTTAATTTTAAGGTGCAATATCATATACCTGTGATATATTGTAGCATGGTCTTGTTAAAAAAAACACCCAGCAGTACCATCTTAGATCTATTGATATTTTAAGTCCAGTCATTTAATCAATTCCTAAAATACCTTTTCTCCAGAACCATTGAATGACAGAACACACCCACCCTATATATTCATAGTCTTCTGATGCCTTCCCATATTTCCAGTAGGTTATGGCAGATTATGGCTAATCTCCCTAGCTTCCTGGCTTTCCTCTCCCCACAGCAGCCATTTCCAATCCCGGAAAATCCTGTTCTTTGTGGAATAATAGACACACAGGTCAGGAGGCTGCTGACCCCCAGGAAGTAAATTCTGGGGGGCTTTGCGGACTGCAGCGAAAGGGGGAAGCAGGCAAGTCCTGCTTTGCAAAATCTGCAAATGGTTGAATACACTCCATGAGCTCCGTTTCCAGGCATCCCGGCATCATGCCTGTTTTGGTCCTGGCTAGCAGATGAGGCATGCAAAGTGAACTGAACAAAGGCAGCAGTGCACAAGTCAGACCATACATGTTCTTACTGGACTTTCAGGAGAAGGGAATTATCATGCTTGCTTTCCCGCTATATCTTTTTGCTCTCTTTCCTAGTTTGGACCCCTGCTGCTATTGCTTCAAGGTAACAAACCGTGGGCGTCGCACCCATCAGCTTTACTGGATGACAGAAGGCTTTCCCCCGTTTGGCCAGCGCAAAGCTGTCCCTGCCGTTGGTGCTGATGCCAAGAATAGGAGCTCCCGTCCAAAGCCTGAGCCCCGGCTTCCTGTGTTTAAACTGCAACCCTTGAGGATGGAGCTGGCCCCAGGAAAGACCATGGACATGACACTGGAAGGCTCTTTTGACACTCCCAAGGTAAAAAGATATGCAGAGGGTTATTTTCTCCCTTTAGATCTGTTTCAGTTGCAGGTCCATTGATGATAGATCCAGGTGGGCAGCCATGTTGGTCTGAATCAGACCAACTCAACTAACTCAAACTTAGGTCTGTTGATGGTTATTGTAAAAGAACAGGGGCCTGCAATGCATGCTTAAAATAAACCTGACCTGACAATTGTTGGAAGCCTATTGCAGCATGAATGTCAGCATTTTGTTTCATCAAACGTCCAGAAAACGAGACTGTGCAAGTCTTATTGAGCCCAGAGAATGATTTAAAGGTGCTTGATATGACAAAGGGAGCTTTGACTCTCAAAAACTTGTACCCTGAAGATCTTGTTGGTATCTAAGGTACTACTGGACTGGAATCTGGCTGATCTGTCATAGTCGGTGTGTAACAGTTTGGTACCCTTGCCATAGTCAGAACTGGATGCCCACCTAACTTGTCCAGGGATAATCTCATGAGTGGGATGCTTGATTCCTTGTGGAGCTTGCTAATGGGCTAATAACCCAGTTCAGATATCACTTTTCCGTATGTACATCTTCACAGAGTCACTTCCAGAATCAGACCATGAGGACTAAACGTAACAAACGCAGAAATTGTGACTTTGCATTAGACCGCCCTTCAGAGAGGTGCCATCTTTCAGTGGTGCATGCTGCACAGCATTGTTACCAAGCAACTCTCCTGAACTGTGGGGGATGCTTTCTTTCAGTCCGCTGTCTTTGCATGGTGTCCAATGGCAGCCAAGAGTGCAGTTCTTGCTGAGCTTACATTTGCAGCTGTGGTTCAAAGCCCACTGAAAGCACTGGAATAAAGCCTGTGTAGCCATGCCGGTTTTGGTTTTGATGATAAGCTGTGCTCCTGGCATGCGCAGGTGGTCAAGGAGAGGCTGATATGCCATGCCATCATAGGGAAGCAGTCTGGGAAGGAGCGTATCATGACGGTAGATGTCGTCTGTGAATTCATTGCACCTGTTCTACAGATTTCCTCCAGTAAGATCACATTCCAGGTGGAGAAGGTTAGTGCTTTGCCCTTTAGACTGCCTGCTGGCATGTTACAAAGTTCTAGTGCAGGAGGGTGGCCAGGGTGGGGCTATTGGGGGGCACCACCCCACTTGGAGTTATTTTTGTCCCTACTTGAGTATGCACAACCTTGTCATCCCACATCCATTGCCACCTTTTTGGTTACTCAGGGCATCAGGAGCATTTTGGAGAGCAAAGAACTTGGGGATACCTGAGTGGTGGCCATCTGCAGGAGATGAGGCACACCAAAACCTCAAGAAGAGAGCTTAGGGAGAAAGAGGTTTCCCAAAAAGACATGGGATTCATCACAAGCACACATCTAGAACATCTGAACTCTTTTGGCCGCTCACTGTCTTTAGAGCAGGTGACCAGGGAAAGGCAAAAGGGAGAGGAAGCCTGAGAGGAAGATGGTAGTTCGCACTTCTCCTCTGGCATTAGAAGAGGCAGGTGGGACTCCTAGGAGTGTGTCTGCATCTTCAGAATTCCCCGTCAGAAGCAGCTGTGAAATGGTTTCCAGGTAGAAACAAAGCCTCAAGCCTTTAGCAAGACAGTCCCAGAAATATGTCTATTTGCGACTATACTCAAGGAAGATCTTCTCGGTGCATAAAAATAGAGGCTGAATCTTCCTGAAGTAAAAATGAGACCTCCTTATCCTGAGTATATTTCCAGTCGTTTCCAGGAAGTCATGAGTAAGACTAGACAAGAAGTGAGAGTTGGCATGCCGAGACATCTTAAGAGATGCCACGGAGGAGATCCTTGTTCAAGGTCTCTCATGATTGTTTGTTTGCTTAGTTGGTTGGTTTTTAAGTTTAAAGCAGCATGGGGGGAAGTGAGTTGCATCGGTGCCACGCTGCTGGAGGGTAACCCTTCCCACCACATCATATTCCCAATTTAAATTGGCTCCCCTCCCCAGCTGCTGTTTGCTAGAGGGCAAATATACAGGGTGCCCACGTGGGTATGCTTTGAACATCAAGCATACATACAAAAGCAAAATTGTTCACCGATTCCCCCCAGTTTGGTGTAGTGGTTAAGTGCGCGGACTCTAATCTGGGAGAACCGGGTTTGATTCCCCACTCCTCCACTTGCACCTGGCTGGATGACCTTGGGCAAGCCATAACTCTGGCACAGCTGTTCTTGAAAAAGAGTAGTTTCTGTCAAGAGTTCTCTCAGCCCCACCTACCTCACAGGGTGTCTGTTGTGGGGAGGGGAAGCGAAAGGAGTTTGTAAGCCGCTCTGAGACACCTTTGGGTAGTGAAGGACGGGGTATAAATCCAATCTCTTCTTCTTCTCTTCATTACATCTAGTTTGACCCTTTGATTATACAAGACACCGGAAGGGATCAGCGGGGGTGGGGGAACTCTTCCTCCCCCCCCCCTATCTTCCTTCTTACTTTAACCATACACCTTCCCCCTTCCCACCCAGTTGGTCACCATTAGATTGTATTGGTTTCGCTCTCAGCCGTGACTAACCAAACGTAAGTGAATGAATAAGCAACTATTAAATGCTAAAAGTCTAGTCAGGACACATTTTAACTATTGAACATCACTTGGCTTGGTAAAACACTGGTGCATACCTGAAAATCTCTATGATGTTTTATGCAAGAAATTTTTGAAACATATATCTTGCATACAATCATCACTACATGTCACATCTCAATGTGGCAGCATCTGATCCTTTGATACATTCTTTCTTCTTGTCTTTTTTTACTACTCAAGTGTTTTTGCTTTTCCCCCCAGAGCCCTGGTGGTGCCTTGACTCCACAGTATGAACCTCTGAGCTTGAAGAATGTATCTTCTCTGCCACTCAATGTCCTTTTGTCCTTGCAAGACCCTTTCTTCCTCTGCAATAGGGAATGTCAAACTCTGCCCACACCCTATCAGGTAAGAGGACTTGCTTTTTGCTCAGGGCCTCTTAGCGTCTTACAACTCAAGGTGCTGGTTGTAATGTACCCTACCGTAGAGATCTTTGAATAGCCTGATACTGGTGTCTGTACAGAAGCCCTTCTTTAAGAACTGTGATTATAGAAAATGCAGATAAGTGTTTTTTTCATCATATTGTTTCCCATTTCAGCCTATACCAATAGATATTGATGGAGAACATCATCTTTGTGTTGGGTTTGACCCCACTTACAGAGATGACCTTTATAACCGAGTTTCAGAGGAAGTCTTAACTATCCGTTACCTTGAGCATCCTCACGTGGACCAGGTCAAACTCCGGGGAGAGGTGCGCTTCCCAAACCTTGACTTTCAAACTATGGATCTGAATTTTGGCTGCATCTTGAATGACACGGAAGTTGTTCGCTACATTGATATGACCAACTGCAGCCCTCTTGTCGTCAAATACCGCTGGTCCTTTCTGCCAGATGATCACGGGACCCAAATCAGGTAAGAGCAGTAACATGTCCTCTTTTGAGAGATTTTCCCATTTGTGTTTCCAGCTGTCCTCTTTTGGATATGTGGTCACCAAGGAGTTACTACCAGCCAAAGAAAGCCAGTGTGCTGGTATGGGCCAGCCCACTATGGTATCTGTGTATAGCTGGATAGTTCAAGTCTGTGCCTATGCCTTTTTATTTTTTAAGGGCATGTACAAATAAACAAAGCAAAGATCACGATTTGCAAGTCTTGAAAAAGTATATCAGGAGATATGCTGTTGTTCATTTTAGTATTCCAGAATCCAAATGTATCTGTAAGTACATGGTAATTTCCTTGATTTCAATTAAAAATAGATTAGTTTAGTCAACAAACCTATTATCCAAACAAACTTAAACTATTCAGAAACAGATGAGGAGGAGGGTGTGATGTTTTTTGTCAGCTACTACTTTTGCAGCTGTTAGTGAACCCAATGTTAATTTAAGATCAATATCCAGTACAAGAGTCTTCCAGTGGCATAACAGAATTAACTGAGGATCCAGAGGGATTCCATATCCCAAAATTTCATTCAACATTTTAATAATCTGTGTAGAAAAGGTCTTAACCTTAGGGGAATGCCAAACAGGTATAATGTGATAAAAGTTTAATAGACTTTGATCACACATTACTTTCAGTTAAAATCAATTTTGCTTTAAAAACAAAAACACCACTGCTGCCACTCTGAAAAGTTTAGAGTTTCAGACTTCTGTAGGAGTGATGTGTTACCTACTGTCTTTCATTATTTGCTATAGGACTATAGCCCTACACACCACACCTGCCTTAAACATCCTGGAACTGCTTGTATGGCTTTTTCATTTGAGAGAGCACAATTTTGGTTGAAATGTTTGGGAGTGGGGATTGTATTGTGTCGATCAACATGCAACTGTTTAGATTGTTGGATTGTTGAGATTCATTCCAATCTGGTTTCAGGCTTGGTTACAGGACCTGCAATGGCCTTGGTTGTCCTGGTGGATGACATGCATTGTGAGATGCACAGAGGGAGTGCAACTCTGTTGATTCTCCTGGACCTCTTGGTGGCTTTTGATACTATCAGTCATGGTATTTTTCTAGGACTTTCAGGACTGGGACTGGCAGGTTCTATTCTGCAGTGGTTCCAGTCCTATCTTGAGGGTAGGTTTCAGAGTGTGGTGCTGAAGGACTGCTGCTCTGCCCCTTGGCTTTTGGCGTGTGAGGTTCCCCACAGTTCCATCTTGTCACCCATGCTTTTCAACTGCTATGTAAAGCCCTGGGAGAGATCATCTGACTGAGCTGCCACCAATATGCAGATGACACTCAACTCTATCTTGTGCTACCAGTGGATCCCTGGGAACCTGTAGAAACTGTGAATATGTGCCTGGAGGCAGTTTTGGAATGGATGAGGGCTATCAAGCTGAAATTTAATCCTGTCAGAATGGAAATGCTGCTGGTGGGGGAAGGTCTGATTGGGATAACGGGTTATCCCTTGTTCTGGATGGGGTTGCACTCCCTCTAAAGGAGAAGGTTCATAGCTTGAGGTGCCCTGGGATCTGGTCCTCCTGTTTGGTAAACAGGCGACAGTGATGGCTTTGGGGTGCCTTTCAGCAGCTTTGGCTGGTGAGCCAGCTGTGGCCCATCCTAGACAGAAAGGATCTTGCACTGTGGTGCCTGCCCTGATAACATCCAGATGAGATTACTTCAATGTGCTTTACATGGGGTTGCCCTTGAAGACGGTCTGGAAGCTATGATTGGTACAGAGTGCTGTGGCCAGAGCACTGACTTGAGTGGGTGCTAGGTATTTCATCACTCTAGTCTTGTTCCACCTACACTGGCTTCCAGTTGGCTTCCATTCTCAATTCAAGGTGTTGGTATTGACCTTTAAAGCACTGTATGGGCTGGGACCAACATACCTTAAGGACCACCTTCTCCCATATTAATGTACCCGCTCACTCCGGTCATCCTCAGAGGCCCTGCTTTGCTTGCCCCCACCATCTAAGGCTATAAATAAATTAAACTGCATTTCTTCACAAACACATGAACCCGTGCAGCAAACTTCCCCGAAGCCGGCTTCATTCCAGATATTTAATTACAAGTGTAAACAGATTTTCCACAGCGCCTCAGGAACCCAGCAAACGTAACCTCTGCATTGATGGACTGCCATTCTGAATAACATCAATAAATGCGGGAGCCAGCCCTGTGGAAAGGCCAGCTGGGAGAAGGAAAGGCCTGTGAGGGACACGATAGCAGCTCGTTAAGAAACTTGGTTATTAAGGACAATGCTGAGTATTTCCTTTCCGATGCTGGGCATCATCATCCCTTCCATGCAATTCATAGCAGTTAAGGAAGTCCCAAAATGTCTCTGGATTCGATAAAGGAACCAGGTGACTTTGCCACTAGATATCAATATAAGCCAAGCAATAGGGATCCCAAGCATATATGATATACAGAAATACAAAATACAAGGGTAGACCATAAAAAAATTCACAAACTTCACAGATTACCAGTAGATATCAGTCTATTGCAACATAGACAGAGGATGTCCCATAGCACAAAGAAACTTCTGCAGCCGAAAAACGTCTTTCCTAGGTATTCCAGACGTTTCAAAGCATTCTTCCTCAGTTATATGGGTGAAAAATGGAACCTGATTTCCACAATAATCTAGGCACAGCTCATGTCTCCAGTGGAATCTCTGCCTTGTTTATGGACTTTGAGGTCTTTTGGACATCATTATACTGAAAGGATATAGAGGAGTCTCTTGTTAGATTCTTTTTCTATTATTGAATTGCCATACCTTTTCTTGTCAATTTCTTGTATTGCAACTTATGTTTTTGAATTGTGACCACCAAGTCTACTTTATTGATTCACTGTACTTATGTTGCAATAGACTGATGTCTACTGGTAATCTGTGAAATTTGTGAATTCTTTTGATGGTCTACCCTTCGGGTTTGTATTTCTGTACTAGATATCAATAAGCAGCTGTCTAAGGCAGAACTTCTCAATGGTTGCAGGAACCTTTTCTTGTGCATTCTTACCTGGAGAAGCAAGTGCCAGGCAACATGAAGCATCTCAGCAGGATGGAGCCCTGTAGGACTAGAACAGAAGAGCGGGAGGAGAAGGTGGCTTTTGGCATCGTTGTGACAAAGGAGCACACCATGGTGCCTCAGGAGCCACTTGTCATGGGAACACTAGTCACAGAGTGGATATAGGGTGCTTGCTGAGCCACCAAGACAGACGCTTTGGGGACATGAACACTTATATTTTGCTTTGGGTGTTGAACTTCCCCAGGACATTTATGGGAGGAAAGGAAGAGGGTATACTGTAATGTCAGATTTATAGAAAATCCCAACAGCCCTTGTTGGATAAACTAATCTTATGGTATGGTAGGGTACCAGGGCCTTTCTAATCCATACTCATTTTTCATAGGGGTTGAAATGGACACGTTTGTTCCACAGAGCATCACATTTTCCCAGGCTACAACCGGGAGTGTTTATAATTTATTTACGATATTGCAGTGCCATCACTTCAGGGTCCTGCTCGAAGCATCTTACTATTAAAACCACATCATGATATTTAAAACAAGTCATTGGACACAAGCCATACAAAAACTATCCATAAAACAGAAGCAGACTGATGGTACCTCTCTCTTACTTTGTGTGGATAGGTGTGATGTAGTTTTAAATTTCTTGTTGTTTCTTTCTCTCACTCAAAGTATCTATCACTGCTACCAGGAATTTAATTCCAGTCTTTAATTAACCTTTCCCATAGTATTTTGCCCAAGCTCTAAGGCTCCTTTGTTGGACTATGTGGTTCTGAGGATAAGACTCTGGGTTAACAATAAACAAGACAAAACTTTATTGGTAAAAGAAGCGAATTGGTTACAAGATGTTTTGTTAAGTTGCTCAGTAAAATCTTTCACTTTTTACTCAGGTCTCTGTCAGCTTTCCCCCCTCATACTCTTAAAATATTCTGACAAAATTAGATTTTGCCTAAATTGTCCCCTGAAGTACTTTTTTTTCTCCTTTAGAATCTTAATGCCTTTCACAGCACTTCTATTAAATACTGGGTTCCAGACGCATTGCAGTGAACAGCTCTACTTTGTTAAGTGATTTCAGGAACAAGACAAAAACCTCAGGGCAACAGCCCTGTTTAAATAGTATGCAGAAACCACACCCAAACACACCCAACTCCCAACGATAGGCTATTTACATAACATTAGTATCTTCTTCGTGGTCTCTGTGCTTCACACCAATGGGATCTAGTGCGCCTGCGCTGGATCTGCCAGTGCCTAGCAAGCTCTCTTAAAAGGATTTTCGTGCCTGGCCCAACTGAGCATGCTCAGGAGCCCCAGTGAGCATGCCCAGAAGGGCAGGCATGGACATCCCGCCAGTTCTTTCCTTTCCGCCGCGCTGAGCAGACCTTTCTTCGAGAGGTCTGGCCGGATCGCTGCTTTTGGGTCACTTTTTAGTGATTAGCTCTCGGTTTTTTGCCTCAGTTTTTCATCAGTTTTTATTTCTCTTCTTGTTTGTTTGTTGTTGTTTTTTTAAAGGAGAGTTTTTGTTTTCGTCATCTGAGGTAAAATTGCCTCAGGCCTTCGGGCCGCTGGCCCTCCCCCCCTCCTCGTCGTTTGGTTTCTTTTTCTCCTCAGTCTATGGAGAACGAAACCTAAGGTACCGAACGTTCCTTCCACAGCGTCCACCCCTGCTAAGAAGGCCAAGAAGTCCAACCCTGCAGTGGCGACGCAGAAGGTGGCCAAGGCTGCGAAGCCTGCTAAGAAGGACTCTGTGTCAGCAGCTCCAGCCCTTCCGCCACCATCGATACCGACTGGTTCAACACCGATGGCATCGATACCGGTGAACCAGGTCGCGTCTGAGACCACAGTACTTGTGCTAGACTCTCCAGACCATCAGGTGGAGACAGCCTTGTACGATATTGACCAAATGGGACTCATAAGTCACCAGTTGGGTGCGGAGTGTTCCACTCGTAAGTCACCAGTTGGGTGCGGAGTGTTCCCCCGGTCCATCCAGCTCCTCGGCATCGGTCGCCTCAGAGCCTCCCGACATCGACGGCCATCGGCATCGACGCTCAAGATCCAGTGCGGAGCGTCGGCCTCCCCGTCTGTCGCCTGACTCCATCGATATCGACGCCTTTGACTGTAGAAGAGGCACCTATGCTCTTCCGTCAACTTACTCTCCGCATCGTCCTCGGTCGAGGAGTCGTTCCCCAAGGTCGTGCATGCCGCCACCAATGTCTTGGGACGAAAGGCAGTACCGTTACCTATAGGGTCCGTACCACCCTCCGATGCCGTGGCTGGGCCATACGGGATACACTGACTGGGACAGATACTCCTGTCGATCTTCCCACAGGTCTCATTCCCCGAGGCGATCTAGACCATCTGCAACGGTCTCTCGTCCTCCTCAGACGGACGCTGTTCCACTATCGGGAACATCCACCGTCATGACGGCTGCACCGATCCAGCCGCCTGCACCGTCTCCACATCAGCCTGCCCCGGCTGGGGAGCCTGACTCTTTCGTCCTCCTCAGACGGACGCTGTTCCACTATCGGGAACATCCACCGTCATGACGGCTGCACCGATCCAGCCGCCTGCACCGTCTCCACATCAGCCTGCCCCGGCTGGGGAGCCTGACTCTTCAGAGCCGTCGGAATCGGGCTCCGATACCAAGCCATCCGAGGCTCCGACGTCGCTGGATAACTCCTCCCCCAACACCGACGTCTTCCAAAACCTTCCTATATCTCCATCGGATACCTTGTCGTCTTACACCGACCTCATCAAACGAATGGCCCACGCGTTGGGTTTGTCAATTGTTTAAAGGATCCTCAATCTACGGATTCCCTATACGATATCGTCCAACTTGATACGTCCTCAGTCGTCGAGCTTCCAATGTCGTCAGTCTTGCTACAAGCCGCAAAAACCCCTGGGCAAAAACCGTCGTCCACCCCTGTCTCTAGTAAAAAATTGGACCACATGTACCGCATTCAGCAAACTGCGGCAGAGTTCCTCCTCACCCATCCACAACCAAACTCCTTAGTCGTCACCTCGTCATCCAAGTCAAAAAAATCACACTCTGCTCCTTCCGATAGGGAAGGCAAGAGGTTGGATGCATTTGGCCGCCGCTTCTACTCTACAGGAGCGTTGGCTGTGAAAGCGTCAAACTATCTCACCTGCATGGGTCGATACCAGTACACCCTGTGGGAGCAGATGTCCGACCTCTTAATCCATCTCCCTGAGGACAAGTTGTATGATGCGAAGCTCCTCCAGAAAGAAGGCATGGTGGTCGCCAAACAGCAGTTGTCCACGACCAAACATGTCCTGGAGGCTTCCTCTAAAACCATGGCGTCGGCAATGGCACTTCGGCGTCATTCCTGGCTAAGAACGACCTCCCTTCCCTACGACACTCGTACGTCGGTTGAGGATATGCCCTTCGATGGCCTGGGCCTCTTCCATGCCAATACAGATTCTTCGTTACAGGATCTGGATAAGAGTATTAAGGCCTCCCGGTCTTTGGGAATCTCCTCTACATTCCGGCATTCCGCTAAACCGAGGTCTTGGTCCCGCTCTTGGCAGAGAGTCCCGTCGTCCCGTCAGTCTCCAGACACTAGGTGGAGACCTAGATCTTATTCTGGCAGCCAAAAGTCCTCCTTTCAAAGGTCAAAGGCAGGTCCTGCCCAACAAACGTCTCGTCCCAAGCAGGGCAAGTCATCTAAGCAAAGTTTTTGACTTCCCTGTCCCCGAGTCAGCACAAACCTGTCTCTATCCCTTCATCCGTTCCTGGCGCCACGTCACTTCAGACGAGTGGGTTCTCTCCATCATAACCCACGGCTACAGGATCCAATTGCACGTCATCTAAGCAAAGTTTTTGACTTCCCTGTCCCCGAGTCAGCACAAACCCGTCTCTATCCCTTCATCCGTTCCTGGCGCCACGTCACTTCAGACGAGTGGGTTCTCTCCATCATAACCCACGGCTACAGGATCCA